GATCGATCAGATTCCACATTGTTCTAAAAAAAATAGATTCCAACATTTCTGGGGAAAAAAAAATAAGTTTAAGTGTTCGAGTTTTCTTGCTTGTGCTGCTAGGCTGCTAGCTGCAGCATATATGCAATGTAGTCATCGATCGATCGATCGATAGGAAGTGTGTGGTTGCATTTTTGCTCGGCATTCATGTACTAGGACGATACGTGGAAATAAAGCAGCAGCTAGCCGCCTCGTACTGCACATTGCTAGGAGTATCTCCCGATTGCACCGTCGTCGACTCGACGGCGAATTATTCCGTGAAAATTGATCGAGTTGGCTTAGCTTTGCGTGCTTGGACTTTGACGCGTGTGACACCAATGACGATCGGTTACGCATCAACGTGCACGGCAATTTTTAGCTGCTTCTTCATTTTAGCCGATTGGACCATATATATCTTTTTCTTTAGACCAAGAGACCATATATACTCCCTCTGTTTTTAAATATTTAACACCGTTGACTTTTTGGCACATGTTTGATCGTTCGTCTTATTAAAAAAACTTTTGTGAAATATGTAAAACTAGATGTATACATAAAAGTATATTTAACAATGAATCAAATGATAGGAAAAGAGTTAATGATTACTTAAATTTTTTTTTGAATAAGACGAACGATCAAACATGTTTAAAAAAAGTCAACAACGTCAAATATTTAGGGACGGAGGAAGTATATCTTTACACACACATGACTTTGTTGTATAATGTATATATATAGTTAAATTAGATAAGTATCATGTATTGTGTGTACACACATAAAGTACTACTATAGGGCAAGTTATATATATATTGTCAATTGTCTGATTTGTTGTCATTTTGTTTGATGTCATTTATCTATCAAAATCGTCATCTCAGGTGTGTCCACACCACAAGGAAAAAAAATACACACGCACAATATTCAACTAGAAAATTGTATTAATTGTATACTTCCAACGTTTTCGAGAAGTAACACATGATATGTCTGTTGCTTGGGCACAGTTAGAGTATTATATATAATCTGTCATTTTGTTAAGTGCAGCTGTACATTCTGTTTACTTAAACTCTCTTGATCGGATCCGGTGTAGTACTATCTCACGGCAACATTAATTACCCCATAGGTCAATATATTACGCAGCTTAATTAGTTGTGTACAACTGGCGCCGCTGTGTCGCGCTGATACACTGCATAATTAAGCTGCTTCTAGACTGCGACTAACATATAAATATATATCGATCGTTTCTTTGATCAGAGCAGATGATCGATGTATCGATCGAAACCCAGTCAATTAATCGGTTGATTTCATCTTCTTGAAACAATTAATGATCGCTGTATTTCTTTTTTCCAACGACCAAGTTGAGTGTCTTGGATATATATGTATATATCGATATCGCCCATCGATCATCACGGAAAATATGGATGATATGTTCGGTATATATATAGAAAGAGCAAATTTCTTTTTACCAAATCAGTGTAACTTAATTCTTCTCTCTTAACCAAAAAAAAGTGGTTAAGAGAGAAGAATTAAGTTACATTGATCATGGGCTGGGAGACAAAATATCAGGATGGCGCATGTAATATATATAATTTAATGAAATTAATGTTAGTCAAGCTTATTTCTGGGGGGGAGTATGGAATTAAGGATTTAGGAAGGAAGGAATTTACCTTATGGGAGACAAAATCTAGACGACACACGTAAGTGTGATGTAATGAAAGACTAAACTTGTTACAGAACACTGAAAAAGGATTTTGCTGGGAGACATCTTTAAAAAATTTATTTGCTCAAGAACACCTAAAAAATTAAATATGGTAATAGTATGATAACGTGAGTATTAAAATACAACATATACTTATAATTGAGGAGAAAAATAACCATGTAAAATATCCAACCCAGCCCTCTGCCTCACTCGAAGCGGGCTAGGCAGTGGCAACAACGACGAACATACTCCGAGTGGCTAGTACCACTACCCCCTCCCACCTCAAGTAGTTAGTGGATGGAGCTTGCCCCACAGCTCGGTCGTCAAACAGGAGGGCATGATCTTATCCCACTACAAGTGCTTTCTCGGTTATCACTAGAACCAACGACAGTGCTCAGGATCGGTGATGCAACAGAAGCCAGAATTATAGAGGTGGACTAGATCTTGTAGTTGTTATTCCAAGGTAGTGAAGCAAATCTAGTAATGTCCCTAGATCAATTGGGCCAGATCTAACGATGGCGAAGGGATTCATGCATTGATATGAAGATAACACCGAGAATGCTTACTTTGATCCATGAAGATAGCTCCATGCCACATGTCTTTTTTGTCCCTATCGGTCATCGCACGTAAATCAATGAAATGACATGTGGGGCTAGTTTGTATGGAGTAAAGTCGTTGAGGTAAAATTCTCTCTCTATCCCAACGAGAAGTAATAATTTTAATGGCCTTAATGATCTTTAGCACAATACTGCAAATGTAAGCTTTTACAGTGTCTGTCAGCAAAAATATTGTTTTTATTGTTTTGTAGTAGTAATTTTTGTCTGAATGAAAGTAAAGTTAGTCAAGCTTATTTCAAGAGGGAGTACGTAATTAAAGTATGTAATTAATGAAACTACATCATGGGAGACAAAATCATGTGGTGTGGTTTAGACTTTTAGTGAAATTAAAGGTTAGTCAAGGAGATTGACCTCGACGTTTAATTCAGGCACGAGATCATAGGCCGGCTGTGCCTGACTGGCATGAACTTTTGACTGCTCTCCCTGGCTCCTTCCGCAGCTTCCCGTTTTTACAAGCTACTAGTATCAAAACCAAAGTCTTGATGATGCATGGTCTGTTTCCCGTCGTCCAAGCTAGGTGTGCACTACTGTAGTAGTGTATCTCTCTTTTTTTCCCTTTTTCTCTCTCATCTCTATATACTCTCTCCATTTTAAAATGTTTGACACCGTTGATTTTTTAGTACGTGTTTGACCATTCATCTTATTTAAAAAATTTAATTAATTAATTATTTTTTTCATATCATTTGATTCATTGTTAAATATACTTTCATGTACACATATAGTTTTACATATTTCACAAATTTTTTTTAATAAGACGAACGGTCAAACATGTGCTAAAAAGTCAACGGTATCAAACATTTTGAAATGGAGGGAGGATATGCCTACATATCGATCAATGGATTCAAGCAAACTTAATTAGTTGGCGATCGAGTTGAAGAGAGAGAGAGAGAGAGAGAGAGAGATCAGAGCGAGCTAGCTTAGCTTAATTTGAGGCCGGGTACACAATAGACACGCATTATGTTTTCTGGCCATTAGCTAGCTACTAGTTCTTACCGGCCGAGTAGTAGCTTCGTCTACCTCTCCGGCCACCATTATATATACTTCTCTCACTTGGAGTGTGGAGGCGCCGTCGTCCGACAGATTACTGAAAGAAAGCAAAGGTATATTATACCACTGATCTACTGCTAACTGCTGTGTAAATACTATAAGTGCATGGATCATGTACGCTTTTGTATGAGGTGCTTCACGTCTTCGCGACACCTTAAATATTTCATCCTTCAATGTACTCAATATTGAGCAGATTAGTAGCCACTAGTCCTAGAGAGCATATGCACGTACGTAGCAGCTAGCTAGCTAGAGTTTGAAATAATTTGTTGAGAGGATTATTTACTTGATCAAACTTAACCGATAATTTAAAATAAATGGTCTAAGCAATATATTTTTTAAATATATAAATTATTTTAAGGAAATATATTTTTCGAGACATGGAGTAAATAATATGTTCAAAACAATTCGGTAAAAATCTAAACATATAAGCATAACTATATATTCATGCTTCCGGTGCGTACCGCGCGTAATGATTATCTAAGAATCTAAGATCAAGTTCTTATTTTTTTTAAATAAAGAAACATAAGTTGTACTCCCTTCATACTAAAATATAAACATTTTTAGATTGTTTACTAAGTACTCCAATTTTAAGATTTCCTTAATGTCAATCACTTTAGTGGTTAAACTTTTATCTTGAATTATTTAGATTACCCTCCAATCATTTCGCATACAATTGATTATAAACCCTAATGTTTATTTGCGGCTAAAAATTAATTTATAGCAAAACTTATATATATTAAAAACAAACAACGTGTAAAAAAAATTAAAATCAACTTTAAAATAAGTTTTGAAATTTAAATTCTAACTGTGGCTAATCTCTACTATTATAAAAATTGAATATGTTTTTGCTGGTATTTTGGTACGTTATCCGTGTTTGAGTCGGTTTTTAAGTTCGTTCGTTTTTGGAAATACAAATCCGTGTTTAAGTTGGTTTTTAAGTTTATTTGTTTTTAGAAATACAAAAGGAATCGTATAAGAAATCTCTTAAAAAAACTTACATGCTAATTGATGAAAGTTAGACTCCTAAATACAGCTCATGATTTTTTTTAAAAAAAATATTTAAGCAAATTTCTACAGTGAATATCATCCTAATCCAAAATAAATCGTATAACAATAAAAAAAATTAAAATAACATTTATCCGTGGTAACGTATGGATATTTTTCTAGTAAGTTAAATAACAAAGACGATGAGAAGGGGATGAAAGAAGAACAGCCGGGACGGTCTATCCTGCTCTGGCAGCCAGGGTTCAGATACGGCCTGCACACTGTACCATCCGGTATTCCGGTTGATGGCATCTTCCATTCCCTGCATACATGGTCAATAAATAACAGCCGCTTTGCCGTCACCAAAATTACCTGTCAGGTAGTGTAACTACTTATTTTTGGCGTATATACGTACTCCTACAGTGTGTACGCATGTCAATGGTCAAGTCAAAACCCTCTTTGCATTGGTCGACGCGGTACAACTTTTCTTCCCTCCCGGGTCACTGCATGTCTCCGCACGGTAATTACTACTACCACTACAGCAGCAGCCAAAACCAAAGGGAATAGACTAGACCCAAGAAGAAAAATTCAGGAGAAAAAATTGGGGCTACGTGCATGGAAGCTTCGCGCCGAATCACACGTGCCTCGTCCCACCTGTCCGCGTCACCCGTCTCTCCTCGCCGCCGCCGCTCTTTGCTTCTGCACGTAGCATCCTCTATCTCGCTCTTGTCCTCTTCGCTTCGTTTTGTATATAAAGACGCCACTGCGCTTCGCTCTCCTCTGCTACTACCTGACAAGCTTTGCTTTGCTCGCACGCGTTCCCAGCTCCACCTCATCATCCATGGCGTCCACCGACAGCGCCCAGGTGGCTGCAGGATGGCCCGCCGCCGCCAGGGAACACGAAGCGTGCCCGCCGCCGCTTGTCGTTGGAGCCCCGTCGCATGATGCCGACGCGCAGCCGGAGGAGGAGATACCGTACTCCGTCTCCTTCAGCGTGCCGGCGTCGCCGTCGGGGATGCACCTCGGCGCGTCCGTCGTCCGCGTGCACGCCGCGCCGCCTTCCGTGGGCGAGGCCAGGATCGACATGATCCACCCCGCCGAGCCACCGCCGCAGATGCTGTGGCAGCAGGCGAGGTTCCACTCGCAGCCCACCCTGACGGTGATCAACGGCGAGGCGGCGGCGCCGGTGCCCCGGAGCGACAGCACGCGGGACCGGCGGTTCGACCAGTTCAAGACCTTCTCCGGCCGCCTCGAGCGCCAGTTCTCCAGCCTCCGCGGGATGCTGCCGCAGGAGCCCGCCGCCGACATCGAGACGGCGGACTCCAAGATCTCCGAGGAGGAGGCCGACGGCGGCGAGGTGCCCACCGCCGACCGCTACTTCGCCGCCCTTGAGGGCCCCGAGCTCGACACCCTCCGAGTACGTCACTTCGAAACCTTAGCTAGCTCAAAATTTCTTGCCATTGTAACGACTAGACTAATGAGGATGTCGGCGTGCAGGCGACGGAGGTGCCGGTGCTGCCCGAGGACGAGAGGTGGCCGTTCCTGCTGCGGTTTCCGATCAGCGCGTTCGGGATGTGCCTGGGCGTGAGCAGCCAGGCGATGCTGTGGAAGACGCTGGCGTCGGAGCCCTCCACGGCGTTCCTCCACATCAGCCTCGACGTCAACCACGTCCTCTGGTGGGTGTCCGTCGCGCTCATGGCCCTCGTCTCCGCCATCTACCTGCTCAAGGTCGTCTTCTACTTCGAGGCCGTCCGCCGCGAGTTCCATCACCCCATCCGCGTCAACTTCTTCTTCGCGCCATGGATCGCCTGCCTCTTCCTCGTCAAGGGCCTGCCGCGCCAGGTCTGGACCATCCACCACGTCGTCTGGTTCCTCCTCATGGCGCCCATCCTGCTCCTCGACCTCAAGATCTACGGCCAGTGGATGTCCGGCGGCGAGCGGCGGCTGTCCAAGGTGGCCAACCCGTCGAACCACCTCGCCATCGTCGGCAACTTCGTCGGCGCGCTGCTCGGCGCGAGGATGGGGCTCCGGGAGGGCCCCATCTTCTTCCTCGCCGTGGGGTTGGTCCACTACATCGTGCTGTTCGTGACGCTGTACCAGCGGCTGCCGACCAACGTGCAGCTGCCCAAGGAGCTCCACCCGGTGTTCTTCCTGTTCATCGCGGCGCCGAGCGTGGCGTCCATGGCGTGGGCGAGGCTGACCGGCGAGTTCGACTTCGGGGCGCGGATCGCCTACTTCGTCGCGCTCTTCCTCTACATGTCGCTGGCGGTGCGCGTCAACATGTTCCGGGGGTTCAGGTTCTCGCTGGCGTGGTGGGCGTACACGTTCCCGATGACCAGCGCCGCCATCGCCACGGTGCTGTACGCGTCGGAGGTGACCAACGTGGCGACGAGGGCGATGGCGGTGGGGCTCTCCGGGATCGCCACCGTGACGGTCACCGGCGTGCTGGTCACCACCATGTACCACGCCTTCGTGCGCAGGGACCTCTTCCCCAACGACGTCTCCATCGCCATCACCCGGAGGAAGCCCAAGTTCAGCAAGATCCTCGCGCACCTCCGCTCCTCCGGCACCGACGTCAAGGAGCTCGTCTTCTCCGTCTCCTCCAAGAACGGCGCTGACGACTCTGCCTCCGTCTCCAAGGCAAGCAACTGCAGCTCCGGCGATCAGTCCCCGGTGCCACACGCCGGAGCTGGGCGTGGGCGTTAACTAATTTAGTACGCTGTCGCGTGCGCGCGCGCGTGTACAGACTTGATAATTAATTTCTCTTTTTTTTTCTTTTCGATCCTTGCACAATCGATTCGCTACGAATGGACGGCATTGGCGGATCGGCAGCGACCAGGGGTTTATCCTTTGAGCGAATTGCAATAAGGATATTATAAGCTTCAGTTTTGTAGGTTAGTTCCAGTTTATAATTATTGACTCGGGAGTTTTTTTAATTTATTCCATCGGATATGTGTTTTTAAAGAGGAGATATAACGTGTAACTGCATTTGGATTTGGATTTGATTGTATCTTAATCCATCACGCCGTGCTGTTCGTCTAACTTCTGGATGAGATAATGGGAGACCCAATTTGGAAAAAAGTCTCTTTAATTAATGTGGCGTTTGAGATGGGAGGGACTTAACATAATTCTCTAGGCGAGGGACTATATATTTTTTTTCGTGAGAGGGACTAAAAAATACTCCCTCATTCCCTAAATGTTTGACACCGTTAAATTTTTTAAACATGTTTGGCCGTTCGTTTTATTCAAAAACTTTTGTGATATGTGTAAAACTATATGTATACATAAAAGTATATTTAACAATAAATCAAATGATAGAAAAAGAATTAACAATTACTTAAATTTTTTGAATAAGACGAACGGTCAAACATTTTTAAAAAAATCAACGGTGTCAAATATTTTAGGATGGAGGTAGTAAGTCCATCCCATCCTAAACACCACCTTACGTCTGTCGACTCTAACGGAGTCTGATTTTCTTACCTCAACTTTAGAACTATTAAAAAAAACTAGATATATATAACAACTTTATTAAATATTAATTAATGTCGATTTAATTTGTCTCCTTCAATAGTTTAGATGTTGTTTTATTCTACGTGAAGTGTTAATCAGTCCAACCCATACTAATATGACATCTAGGTTGCAATTAGGTAGGACTATAGGAAAAATTAAAAACAAGAAGCTCATTAGGACTTTGAGAGGTTGTTTGGGAAAGAGAGACTTAAAAAAAAATAAGACGCTTATCCCCCTCAGTCCGGCCCTTAGCTTCTCTCCCATCTACTACTTCCTTCGTTTCACAATGTAAGTCATTATATCATTTCTTACATTTATATTAATATTATGTCTAGATTCATTAACATTAATATAAATGTGCGAAATGATATAATGACTTATATTGTGAAACGGAGGTACTACTGTCCCTCACATCTTCCTCTGACGCCGCTCCTTGTTTATTGCCATTGTCGTCGTCGCCTGCTCCTTCTCTTCGGCGCCTCGAGATTTGGGGACGGAGCTCGAGCTCCACCTGTGAGAGGAACAAGAGACAAGGTCAGAGAAGAATGTGAGCGTGACGTTAGGCTTGGATGTGAACTTGTTAATTAATTTCTCTTTTTTTATCCTTGCACAATCGATTCGCTACGCATATACGGCATTGGCGGATATCGGTAGCGACCAGGATTATATCCTTTGTGCAAAAGTTACAATACAATTTTGTAGGATATCAGTTTAAAATTATTGTCTTGAGAGTTTTTTTTTTCATTGGACACATGTTTATAAAGCTGTGTGTACCATGTAACTGGATTTTATAAAGTATTATTCCATCGCGCGGTGCTACTCCTCTGAGTCGTCACACCAGATGCGATCATGGGATGCCTAATTTTGTTCCATCACGCGGTGCTACTCCTCTGAGTCTATTTTACCTCTCTCGATTTTAACCCTAGTCTAAAATTGCAATAGGGATATCATAAGTTATTCCAGTTTTGTAGGAGTAGATTAGTTGCCAGTTTAAAATTATTGTGTCAGGTTATGTATACCACATACCTAATAGTAGTTGACTAAATCTCGGCAGGACCCACCACATATTATGTCTTATACGGAAACAACCTTTGGATATAAGAGGAGTCCGCGTAAGGAAGGATAACCAGAGTCCTACATGGAAACGACAAGGACTACTCGGATTGTATCCATATTGGTTTCCCTAGTTCTACTTGGACAAGGGGACACCTATAGGTATAAATACAAGGCCCCCTAAGAGGAGAGGGGAGACGGAACAACAGAAGCCACAACATACAAAGCCAACATACGCCAAGACAAGATGCCGGATATCGACTTCAGAGATAGGCATGGCTAGTCCCCTACGGTGCCTACGGATACCGTCAGGTGAGATATAGCGCTGTCTCTGATCTCGCCGGATGCGGATTCAAGGAGGAAGACCACCCTGTTGTCGACTACGAGTCAGACCTTCAGACCGCCATGTCGACAACAGTTAGATAGGCTACCCCAAATATTGTACTGGTGTAATTATGATGAATAAGAGCAAGCCCAAATATTGTACTAGTGTGATTATGATGAATAAGAGCAACGATTGGCTTCGGCCAACAAGATGTAGGGTTATTACCTGACAATTCAGGGGCCCGAACCTGTATAAAAATCCTCGTCTCCGTCTCTTTTACCTAAGTCTCGCGTATATCCTAGCACGTCTCCGTCTCTTTTACCTAAGTCTCGCGTATATCCTAGCACCAACGATCCCCATACTATGCAAATACCGAAATCGCGACATCAAACGTCGACATATTGACTCGAGAGTTTTTTTTTAAATTACACAGTACAACGCAGACACTTACAACACACACGCGCTTGCCCCCTATAAACACACGCACGCAAACCCTGCTCCTATGAGCATCTTCGAAGGCTGGGCCGACTCGCCCCTATAAACGCATGCACGCAAACCCTGTCCCTATGAGCATCTTCGAAGACTGGGCCGACAAATCCTTGAGATACTCACCCCTATGAACACACGCACACAAACCCTACCCCTATGAGCATCTTCGAAGACTGGGCCGGCCCTATGAGCATCTTCGAAGACTGGGCCAGCAAATCCTTGAGATTGATGAAGTCACCACAGGCGTCTCGCTGTCGACAGGTACGTCACCTACCACTTAAAGCACAACGTCGTTAAATACTGGAAAATTCGCTCTCATAGGGAGTCGAACCCAGGACCTAAGGTGCTACTAAGGTACTTGTAACCACTAGGCTACCGCTACATGCCCTTTCGCGACTCGAGAGTTTTTTATTCCATTGGACTTGGACACATGCTTTTAAAGCTGTATATATGATAGATGTATCGTGTAACTGGATTTTGATAGTATATCTTATTCCATCGCGCTATGTTGCTCCTCTAACTCTTGAGTCCTCACACGGAATGCGATCATGGTAGGACTAAAAAATAAATCTTGTTCATGTTCCTCTCCGCGAGGAGCCTCCTCCTCGCCCGAGATTTCTAATACGCGACTAGTCGCGCTCGCCCTCCCGCGTGCGACTGAACACGTGTCACGCGTGGAGAAGAGGCGACGGACGGCGCGTACGGTTCTTTTTTTTCGGGCATACAGTTTCTTTTTTTTTTCTTCCGTACCTTTTCTGGTTTTCTTTCTTTTCTTCCCGTATATTTTCTGTTTTTCCGTTTTCTAATACGTATATATGCAAACTTTGTATGCGTATAAGTACAAACTGTATATACACGTATACAAAATTTATATATGTGTATGCAAACTTTTGTATACGTGTATACAAAGTTTGTATACACATACATAAAGTTTATATACATGTATTTTTTTAGGTTTTTTATAAGTACGCACACAAACTTTATAGACATGTGTATATCTTTTATACATTAAAAGTGCATACATATAAAAAAAATTATGTATATATATACACATATGTATATATTATATAGTTTATACGTATGTATATATATTACTACCTCCGTTTTTTAATAGATGACGCCGTTGACTTTTTCTCACATGTTTGATCATTCGTCTTATTCAAAAAATTTACGTAATTATAATTTATTTTGTTATGAGTTGTTTTATCACTCATAGTACTTTAAGTATGATTTATATCTTATACAGTTGCATAAAATTTTTGAATAAGACGAATGGTCAAACATGTGAGAAAAAGTCAACGGCATCATCTATTAAAAAACGGAGGGAGTATATACATACGTATATACATATAGTATGCATAGTAGCATATAGAATAATAGATCGGACTAGATGGGGGGGAGCTCATCGCGCGCGCGGCCGCGCGACTAGTCGCGGACCCCCCCCCCCCCCCCCCGCGCCGCCGTGGCCATTCCACGACGTTGAAGTCATACGGTATCAAGGACGATGCGCCTGTAACTGAGTAGACACGCCCTAATATTATTAATAGGCAAGAGAGTCTTCGTATCTGGTTTTATACAATTGAGGGACGAAAATCAGCTACTATATTATTGAGGGAGGGAAATATACCCTTTTTTTCCCCATTTTTACTGCCCTTTTCCGTGTGCCTTTATACGTCGATGGGCCACCGCGATAGACCTGAAAAGATTAAAAGCCCATTGACCGAAGTATTGGTCTTGCCAAACCACGGCTGAAAAGTTTGAAGCAATTCGATCCATATATATTGGCCTTGTTTGTCTCCGTCTATGTTTATACGGCTGAAAAGCCACGTATCCGTATCGGATACGCTCCGATACGTATCCCGTACGTATCGCTATTTACTTCGATTTTCGAAAAAATAAATTAAATCGGATACTTCGTTGATACGTCCCCTCCCGTCGCTCCTGATACGCCCGAACCCATCCATGGAAGACGAAGCGCCGATCCAATCCGTCGCCGCGCCGCCTGCTATTGCTCCAATCCCTGATGCAGTTCCCACGGGCCACGTCCTCCCCATCGCCGCATCCATGCCCGAGGCGTGAGTCCTCCGCTAGCTGTCGGGTTCCGCCGCCGCATCGCCAACCAAGCCGCAGGGTCCCAACCAGCCCGCAATCGAGCTCGAGCGCCTCGCGCGTCGCCGCCCCTGAGCGCAGCTGCGCAGGGCCACCGCCGGTCGCCGCATCTCCTCCACCGGGTGCAGCGTCTCCACTGGCCGCCAAGACCAACACCATCAGTACGCCACCAAGCTACTTGGTTCTTTCCCATTGAAGTCTCGATCTGCATTTCTTGCGTGTTTCCCCATCTCATCTTAGTGCTAAGTGTTCTCTCCTCTCCTAAATCCAATGAGTTTTGGAAGTGGCAGTGCATCTCTAGCACTCGTACGTACTGCTACTGCTAGCGTGGCTATGCGGCTGCACTTTGCAGATTCATTAGTAGTACTAGCGACCAGACATGGGAGCACAATATCCATGGGAGCTCCAAGGTGAGCCTGTACTAAAAAAAATTGGTGTATTGATCAATTGATGTCATGTATTGGCTATCTCTATTTACAACCTCATAGTTATTTACCTCTATATATTTATTATTTTAAATATATATTGACGTATCCC